TTTTTTTATATATATATATATATATATATATATATATATATATATATATATATATATATATTTTTTTAAGCATTACAGCCCAAGCAAGGCGTGAAGCCACTAGGATGCAGGGGGGGTGCGGAAGATTTGGAGCGAGAGAAGATAGGAGTGATAGAAAAAAGGACGAGGCGAGGGATAGTGGGTAGATCAAGGTAACTGGAGATGTCGGTTGACATTACATTTGAACAGTTGGAGATTATAGCTCTCAGGGAAACAGTAATTGGGAGGGTGTTCCACAGGCGAGAGGTGCGAGGTATGAAGCTATTGGAGTAGAAGAGACGGCTACATTTAAAAAGTTTCTACAGTGTAAGGGTGAGAGCGGGATGCCAGCCTCGTAGGGCGCTTGAATTCATGGAGTCTGGGGACCAGTGAAAGCAGCTCATCAGAGCAATTACCATGGAAGTATTTGTAGAAAAAAGACAGAGAGAGGCGACGGCGCGTCTGTGAGAGAGTGACTGCAGACGAGATCCAGATCAGATTATTATATTACATATCCGTCTCTGGATCTTGTCAAGAACTCTGAGGTAAGCAGAAGGTGCTCCAGCCCATATATGGCAGCAATACTCCATGCAAGGGCGAATGGTTGTTTTGTATATTTGAAGTATCGATTCAGGGAAAAAATTTTTCCTGGCGCGGTACAGAGAGCCAACTTTCTCCCCCTATATATATATATATATATATATATATATATATATATATATAATATTGCCAATTGAATGCTGGTGCTAATAAAATAGTGCTCGGTGTATAATAACAGAGCTACAATTTATATTAATAATAAATATACATTTTTATCCTAACAAGTCTGAATTTCATGCACAACACAATCGGCAGGTGCTGATTGAAAACTGTTTTCATTCACAAACTGAAAATTAATATTTCTGATATATATATATATATATATATATATATATATATATATATATATATATAATTAAAATTAGAAAACAGACACCCTTAAGGGTCCATTGATTATATTTTTTTTCCCCAGGACGGTGTTTTTGTTTCTTTTTCTGGTTCTTCAGATCACATTTCCAAGCATAAAAAATGGTTTTAAATTTACGTATTGTTTTTATACACTTTTGAGGGGGAATTTAAGTTGATGTAAAGTGATAGAGAAAGGTGGAGGAGGAGATCGACAGATATGGTCGGAATTAGAGAAGGAATGCAAAGATAGAAATAAATTTAAATCTATTTTTATTAAAATGTTTAAGAGTAAGGGAGTGGGGTAAGGACCAGACATTGACCTATTTAATAAGTCATCTCAAAGGAAACGAGACAAAGAGAAAAAAAGAAGAAAAGATATAAGAAAGTAAATGTGGAAGTAGGGTGTGAGGAAAAAGCGTGGAAAGAAGAAAAGGAAGAATAAATTAACATATATTGGCATATTGTAGTTATTGAAAAAAACACAAATTGATATATTTTGCAGTTAATGTTTGACACTGATTTTTAAAATATCAACAAATTAAATACGATAAAAGGAAAAATAATATAATGTTAATATAAAATAAACAAAAATATTAATATTATTAATAACAACTAAGGAGTAAAAAAAATTATTATTAAAATCTAAAATTTCAAAATTATAAATTTTAAAATTTAAATTCATCATTTAAAATTTAAATTTAAAACAACCTAAAAAATTTTAAGTTGTATCGAAAAAAATATATAATTTAATATCGAAAAACATATCGAAATGAAAACATTTTTTTTTTAAATTTACAAAATTTATATAAAAACAATATATAATATAATATCGAAAAACATTTCGAAATGAAACAAAATTTTAAAGTAATAATATTATTATTATATCACAATAATAATAATAAAACCAATAACAGGAATAATAATATTAATAGCAATAATAATAATAATAATAATAATAATAATAAACTAATCATAATACCAATGAGAGGGACAGCGGTTGAGTAATAATGATAAAACGGTAATATAAGATCAGTTATAACCCATTTAACCATATATATTCTTGCATATATGTACATATAAACACACACACATATACAAATACCTATACACCTACACACACATATATATATTCATATATACATGTATACACTCTTACATACATACACACATATACATATATATACATATATGTATACATATACGCACACACACACAGACATATATACACACTTACAAGGAACATACACACATATACATCCACACATGTAAGTACAAGCAAGTAAATACCCCCATATATAAACACCTACATACACATACACACATATGTGTATACTTATAGATACCATATAATCACCTACAAATGTCAACACAATTATATGAATACATATCAACACACATATGCTCATATACAAATATCTATACGCATATACAGTATAACATAAGCAATTAAACCTACAGAGAGAGACACTAGATATTATTTCAAGTCTAAATAATTTAAAATTCCGATGTTTCCATGAATAAGCCTCCCAAATATTAGCTGTAGTTTGTTATTTTGAGACGATGTCTGTGCCTGCATTTGAAGATAATTTCATTGTGCTGATTTAGTAATTCCTCAGGTTCATTATGTTTGATTATTAATATGTTCTCCTTAATGCAGAGGTAACATCTGTCTCTAAAGTTTCTAGCAGTTGGAGCCCTAGAGATAATTCTCCATTTCAACTTTGGGGTGAAGCCTTTTTCCACCAGATCCCAATAGTATCCAGACAGCGCTGATTGATGTTTAAGGGATTCATTAGTGAAGGAATGGCGATGGTTATAAAGGCGCTACTTCCAATTCCCAGCAGATATTCCAATATAAACCTTTTTTTGGTTCGTATTCTCTTTGGTAAAGATCTTGGCTTCTTAAACCACGCTTTTTGTCATACATAATCCTCCCACTGAGCATTCAGTTTTTACCCTTTAATTACAGGTAGAAATATTTTTGTTGTAATTGATTAGCATTAAATTCTCTAATAATATTATTATTGTGGTAATTTATAATTTTCCCCACATTGTTCACATATAAGTAACTAGTTTTCAAGTTATTTTATTTTTTTAAATTTCAGTGTATTGTTTTTACTAAAGCGTTTAACTATTAAATTTAAGAAGTACTTTCCTATATTAATGTTGGATAAGTTACAGAATGGAGGCTTGAATAGCCTTCCTTTTTCTATTTTTGGATTTATTGGGCACATTGTTAGTCCTTTTTTTTTTTTAGATAAGTTAATGTCTGTTGGAATTTACTGTTTATGAGAGCATGATTATATCTAAATTTGCTTTCATTAAATATTTTGCAGCTAGAAGACAGTTTGATTATTCTGGCGTTGACTGTGTTGGAAATTTGGTTTATAACTGGTTTGGGGTGGTTCGAGTTGACGTTTATATATATTGGGGTTTGATTTTATTTTTGGAAGGGTTTGAAGATGTTATTGTAGAGATTAAATGTAACATCTAGGAAATTAACGATTTTTAAGTTGGATAATATATAAATTTTAAATCTCAGAAATTGGAAGGCCTTAAGGATTTTTTCTGTAGTTTGGAAGTTAGATGACAAGTGGTGTTAGGTATAATAATGAGTCCATCATCTCTGTATAGCCCTACATTTTTGGGGTTCCAAGAATCTACTTAGAGTATCTAAAAAGTATATACATGCTAAATCTGCTATTTGGGCTAAATCATAAGCTCCCATGGGAACATCAAATTTTTATTGTTTTTGTTAACCCAAAGGGAGTCATTAAATACTAATATAGACTGTCTAGAAGTCATTATAATTTTTATTTCGTCATCAGTAATGTCAATATAATTTTTAGCAAAATCTAAGATATTTTCTAATAGGTTATTAGAAATGGAGGGGTAGAAAGGGATAACATCTAATTGAGTAAATGAAGCTTTAGTCTTAGAGTTTATATTCTGGAACCATTTAATGATATCCGAGGAATCTTTCCAAATACATACATATATACTCGACTCTCCCGTCGAATTCGACGTATAAGGGTCAGTTCTATGAAACCGACTGCCCGACAACAGCACATGAGATTTGATTATAGTGGTGAAGGTTTTGTGCAGGACCATCTACACTTTTTGAAGGCCTAAATACAGAGACCTGGTGCACTACGACCAAAACGACCCTCCGCAGGTTTTGAATTCAGAGTTGTCCTTCTCCTAGACCAGTTGCCATCCAAGGCTATAGAACCCAGTCTATATATATATATATATATATATATATATTAGAGTGGCGTTCTGTTTGGTTAGATCAAATTCATATTTTCAACAGCTGTCTCTCTATTTTTTAAATAATTAATTTTAATTCATTTGAGTCGAAAAATGCTAGCACATTAACGCTAGTTGAAATAGTCTATTCCCATGAGGTAACTTTGAATTTCTTTATTATGTAATTTATATGCTCTGTTATAATAAATACTCTTTTTGTGGATCAGTTTTAATATTTTGTATTATTAGGATCCACTTGAATTATATACCAACGGATTTATTACCTGTAACTGGTATCACTTCTTACGTACTAAGCTTAACTTAACATGGCACAAGGACAAATCATTTTGACTGCTACAAGTCGCTGATCATAAGCCTTTCTACAACAAATAGAAACCCGGGACTAATTGCCTCTAGACCCAGGGTACGCGTCCATGTAGATTAAAGAATCTAAAATGGTATTTTACAGTTCAAGGGAGGAAATTGTCAGGATCGCTTCATTTAACGGAGATCAAACGGAGATCTTTTACTGATTAACGTTGCTGAGTAAAGAAGGCCGGCTGAGCCCAGCTGAGTTGAACGGTTTACTGATGAGCTTTTTGGTGATACGTCAAAAGGATAAACAAATGGATTGGCGGGAAATGACAGGAAACGTCGAATAATAGGGATTAGAGAGATACGCATTGAGAGTGACTGTTAAAAATAAAAGAAGGAGAAACAAAAAATGCAAGACAAGAATTGAAGTACGAAAAACGAAAGAAAAAAGAAATTAGAAGAAAAGCGTTTTAAAGGAGTGACCAAAGTAAGAGGGGGAGAGAGAGAAAGAAAGAGAGAAAGAGACAGAGAGAGAGAGACAGAGAGAGAGAAAGAGAGAGAGAAAGAAAGACAGGGGTGGAAACTCGATGAAAGGGGTTGAAAAAATGAATAATAAGAAATATTGGATTTTTTTAAGTAAATATTTGGAGGAAAATAAAAAGACAGAAAAACAATCAACAGCGAATGTGAAATTGTTTTTTAAGTGTCGGAGAAAAAGAAGAAATAAAGAAAGAAGAGTAAGAGAATTAAAAAAAGGGGTAAACAAAATTTATTTTTGTAAAAAGAAGGAGAAACCCAAAAGAAATTGAAAGCAAACGGACAGGGCAAATAAGGAGAGATAAAACAAAAAGAGACTTTATACGTGAAAAGAGAGAAGACAAAATGAATTGTTGGAAAAAGGCAGATGGTTACAAAGAAAGAAAGAAAGAAAGAAAGAAAGAAAGAAAGAAAGAAAGAAAAAGAAAGAAAGAACATGAGGTTAAATAAGAAAGAAAGAAAGAAAGGAGCAAAAAAGGAAAGAAAGAAAGGAGCAAAAAAGGAAAGAAATAAAGTGAAACAAAATAAAAGAAAGAAGAAAAAGCAAGTAGATAAACAAAGAAAAGCAAGCGAAGAAAGAAAAGTAAGAAAAAAGAAAAACAAGAAGAAAGAGAAAAGAAAGTGAGACAAAATAAAAAGAAAGTAGAAAAAGAAAGAAAGAAAGAAAAAGAAAAACAAGTAAAAAAAGAAAAAGAAAGTGGCACCAAATAAAAAGAATTTAGAAAAAGAAAGAAAGATAGTGGAGGACAATAGAAAGAACAAAGCAAGTAGAAAGAAAGAAAGAAAGAAAGAAAGAAAGAAAGAAAGACATGAAAGGAGTGATAAAGGATGATAAAGGTAAAAACGTGTTTAGTAAGAAAAAAGGAGGCAAAAAATGAAGGAAAGTAGAGATGGACAATGGGAAAGGTAAAAAAAAAAGAGCAATATAGAGAGTGAACGAGAAACGTGAATGAGAAAACTACAGAAGAAGAAGAAGAAGAAGAAGAAGAAGAAGAAGAAGAAGAAGAAAGATCAAGAGAAATATTGAGAAACAGAGAATGATTTAGGGAAAAAAAGAATTCTTCTGATAGCAAATTTCTTGCTTATATGGGCACATAAATATGAATGAATGATCGCTGAAGCAAACATCCTGGTCACTGGCTCAGAAAAAATGGCGTCTTATCGCCTGGCGCAGACAATCCCTTCCCCGTCACGTAAAAAAACTTTTTTTTTTATTATTTTTACTCAACTACAGAAAAGGAGAACGAGAAAAAAGAAGTAAAGAAAAAAATGGAAAGGAAAAATAAAGGCTGTTTGGTTCAGCGTTCCAAACAAGCGAAGCTTCGTCCATGTCTTTCTAATTCACTGACATCAAAGCGATTTGATGACTGGGAAAAAAGATAGAAAGAAATTACAACGAAATTCATTTTCAGGCTACCAGTTAAGGTTACTTAGCGTTGCCTGGTTTAAAGAACCTCCCAGGTTATCCTTGGCCTTTTATGTTCAATTACTTATGCCTACTTTTCAATTAGTTAATTGTAAATGAAATTAGCAAAATAACTGATGGCAAGAAAATAAAAAGTAATGCTCTGGTTTTTTGTAAGATTTGTTTGACAACTTACAAGGACGGCTTTTTTATGTGGGGTAAACACACCCCTCAAGCTGCGTGTCGGGTCGTTTAAGAAATTGCCGTTTCCCCCGACATACAGTTACCAGAAAGTATTTCTGGCCCCCTTCCTCTTAGACTTCGTCTTTTTTATGCGCCTCTCAGGATGTAGGCGATCATGACTCTCCACAATTTTCTGTCCTACAGATGACAGGCTCAGATTAAAAGGCTGTTTGATCTTCGAAGATTAAATATTTTAGTTATTCGGAAATTTTTTTTTTTTAACTAGTATCCTCATTTTTTTGTTTCGATTACTACGCTTTTGTCGATGGATTCTCTGGCCTTCTATGAGTTGCCTGAAATACCCAAGATGAAATATCGTCATCATTCGGTGATTTCGTTGAAACTGTATCGTCGCCTTTCTTCTTTGGGTTACTAAGATTCGGCTGATGGAGTCATCGTTTTTTTTTGGGGGTAATTTTCTAAAATACAGAGGTGATATATTATCATCGTTTATTTGAACTACAATATTTTATTTCGATCACTACACATTGGCCGATACATATATATGTAAGTAAATTTGGACAAGGATGCTTGAATGCCATCTTTGATCTGATGATTGCGTTCAAGTATGAAACAGACTGTAACCGCTTCGTGTAATTGATCTCACGAGATAAACTTGCTAACATTACACCACGTCGAAGTACTCCATGAGCAAATTCCTTATCTTCTATATTAAATTTGCTTTAACTGATCCATACACCAAGTTACTTGAAGTGTTTTCTTTCTTTTTTCTTTCTTTCAGGACGTAGGCGATCATGGCTCCCCACTTCCCCCTATCCCTTGTAGCTCTCAATAAGTTTCATCCCTTTGTCACCTCCTTCAGATCACGTTCTGTCATCCATTTGCTTAAGCCCTCCAGGTAGGTCATGAATTGCTTTTATCTTTCCCTCTATTCGACCTGTGCGTATCAGATTCTCTAGACCCTCCTTTCTTATTACATGTCCCAGAAACTTCAGCTGCCTCTTCCTTATGTTATGTATAAGCCTCCTTTTTGTTTGCATCCTCTCCAAGACCTCATCATTGCTCGGTCCATGATATCCTCAGCTTCCTTCTGTAGAATCACATCTCCGTTGCCTCGAGTCTCTTCATATTTGAGGAGACCGTCCAACATTCGCTGTCGTAAAGAAGGACAGGTGTCACGTAACGGCTATTTACTAATTCTACATCTTGAATTTTCATGATGGATTCAGTGTAGGTGACATCATTGATTCCGTTCCAATTCCAGATCAGAGTTTGTGAAAGAGCAACGCTTAAAAGAATATAGACACAATGCCGTATCAATTTCTCGATTCTGTTTCTTTATGCGATCATTTAAACAAATAAATAAACGAAAAACTGTCTGTCTGTCTGTCTGAAACCCATCTAACTATTTATATAGAATCAGGATGGTCCCGGGATTGAAAATCCGTCCTTCATCTGGTGCTTGAAGATGCAGCATTGAGATTTGTGTCTGGATTAAGAGAGAACAGATGAAAATTCAAATATAAATTAAAAACTTTTAAAATCACTGATTTTTTTTACAGTTATTTTAAAAGGTTTTAATTTATATTGAGTTTAAAGTAACGCAAAAATGTGTTTTAAATTCAGTTTTTAACTTTGTGAATTGAGGAAATCAATTTTATTTCTTCAAAATGCCAAGGAATCAGAGTTAAAGTAAGAAGTTTCGTGACGTATGGTTTTGAAATTTTGCAGAATTTGAAGAACTCAACTCAATTGATGTTCCACAGAGTTTGTGATTTGAAGAATTCAATTTTCGGCCTGAAATTGGAACTTCGGTCCAAGTCGGAGTTTCAGTCCAAATCGGTCATTGGCCGGAATTAGACTTAAAGCCCGAATCAAAGAAAAAGTGAGGTTTTGAAGTGCCATGGAATGAATTGAGGAATTCAAAGTTATTTCTTCAAAATTATGATTGCGATCCTTTCCTTAGATGCATAGTATATACCTCGCCATGTTTACATCCAGTTTTGAATTCAGAGTCTTCTTTTTCCTAGACCGGTTGCCATCCCCAGACTATAGAACCCAGTTTGTCCTACTATTTACCCATAGCTTGATGGGGGGAGGAGGACAGTTGGATTCAAAATTTTTCCAACGATATTAACGCGTAAGTGAATGTACTAAACTCGACTGGAATTACGAACATGGATCTTCGATTCCTCAATGCGAGCCGAAATCCATTTCTCTGTCACGTTAAGAACGGAAGCACCGAGAAATAATGAACAAAAGAGAAACGATAACGCGAAGAATTCACTGCTTCTTTGGTCACGTTAAATCTCGTTGACCTCTCGTGTTTTCTCTTTAACATTGATTCTTTTTGTGCCCTACTGACACCCAGTGGGTAAGGTTATCCGTTAATTTATCTGTGTTTTCTAACCGCTGAAGAAGTTCAAATATTTATGTTTAACGTCCATATTTCATTACGTATTTGGTTCACCCGACGCTTAATTTGGACAGCAAATAATCTGGAACTACGTATTTGAAAGATAACGATAAATGTTAGAAAGTTATTATACATCTTGCTTATTGCCAACGTTATCACTGGATGCATTCATTGCTTTTAGATGCCAGACACTAAAAATAAAATATTATTGGCTCAGTACTTAAATAAATAGCCATGTTTTAAATGAAAATTCAAACGAACGTAATATCCGCTAAAAGATTGATACTACATGTAATCATACTTATTATAAAACCCAGGTTGTGTGTGTGTGTCTGTTCGTTTATATATTGGATCGGATTTCCTACATTTTTCAATCGATTTCAACAAAACTTCACAGGACTACGTAAAATTACCTTGTGGTGGTTCTGACAGCGCCAAAAATTGAAAAAACACAATTGTTTTTGCACGAAATCAATTTGAAAACACGATTAAGAGGCATCGCTGTCGCGAGAATGAAAGAGGGACAACTCATATCGAGTTATACTTATTATAAAACCCAGGTTGTTGTTGTGTGTGTGTGTGTGTGTGTGTGTGTGTGTGTGTGTATATGTGTGTGTGTGTCGTTTTATATGGGATCGGATTTCAACCGATTTCAACAAAACTTCACTTTTTTTTTTGGCAGGTAGTGTTTCTTATTGTCTTGCACACTTTTTTTTTTTTTTTTTTAAATACAGAATGCTTTAAAAATTCCATTTACAAGACAATTGTTTATAATAAAATTCTATTCAATCGGTAGATCCATAACGATTGAAAACAATGTTTTTGTTTGAGTTTGGGTTTGACCAATTCGTAAAAAAAAAAACAAAACAACTAATTCAGACATGCGTGTCCGTCAACCTTAAACAATAATCTTTGTCAATTTTATTTTTCAGTCTTTATGATTGTCGATACTTGATCTATCTCTTACTGTTACATCCCCGGGCAACGCCGGGCTCTACTGCTAGTCATTAATAAGAATGAAATTGAATATTTTCACTCGGCGGCATCATGTTAAAACACCAATCCCTATACGATCACCGTCGAGACTGATCAGTGCCTACATAACCGTTCAGGTTTCACTTACGCACAAATACCCTTGAGAAAGGCATGAATGCACCTTTTCTCCCCCACCTATGGGTTAATTAGAAGGATTTATATCGATAAAATCATTAGTAATAAAATCATGGCGTAGTGGATATAGCTGATGGTAATACATCTGTTACTGTGTCAAATTTCAGATAGAATATACCAGTAAAAGAACAATATGATCAAAGACAAAATGAAAAATTATCTTAGCCGATGCGTTTCGTCCTCCAAGGGACTTTATCAAGGCAAATGCAAGGATTTTTTATAAAGCCCCTCAGAGGGCGAAACGTGGCGGCTAAGATAAGTTTTCCTTTTGTTGCATATTTTTTTTACTGTCATCTCATGTTCATGAGTTTAATCAATCTTCTTCCTCTTCTTGTCGTGTCCCATAAAGAAGTAGGCGATTGTGGCTCTCCACAATTTACTCTCCTTTTTAGCTCTTAATATTTTTTTTTATTTCTCCTAAAACTTATCCCACAATCTAGTTATTCAAGCTCACCACGTAGGTTATGCATTGTTTTCCTCTGTCCCTCTTGCCTTTAATCTGTCTTGTGAGTATCTGATTTTCCACGTCCTCTTTTCTCAACTTCAAACTCAAACCTCAAACCGTTTCTTCCTAATGTTAAGTATAAATATCCTTTTTGTTTTAATTTCCTCTAAAACTTTGTTGTTACTCACGTGTTCGGTCCATGGTATCCTCAGCATCCTTCTGTAGAACCAGATATCTGTTGCATCAAGTTTCTTCTTCATCTTTGAGGAGATTGCCCAGAAGCAGAATTATAGTATGATATTCACTGTGTAGCAATATCCGTGATTTCACATAGTTATGATACCAAATACAAATGCTCTCGGGAATAGTCATGAAAGGGGGAAATTTTCAACTTAGCTGCATTTAAGAAAGTCAGGTCATTGTGTCGTGCCAGAATATTTTCTCGTCGGAGTCCGTCTTGCACATTTACAAATCTACCATTTGTCCGTGCATTGAATACTGTTGCCATATTTGGTCGGGTGCCCTTCCTATTCATTTCGAGGTTCTTAACAAAATCCAAAGAAGAATCTGCTCAGTTTCTAGATGGATGACCGCTTGCGAATACCAGGTGCTGTAAACTTGGATGTACGGGTGGTGTAACGCATAATGGCTCGGAATTCTTAAATGGACAACCGAGTTCCAATTCCCTTT